AACACTCTAAGTTCCATGTTTTGACTTCTGGGGAAAAGACTAGATCCGCGAGCCGAAAAGGAAGTTTGAGGAATGTCAAATCCATGGAGATATGCGTGTAGTATTGCGCTGTATTGTAAAAAAATAACACTGAGCGCTATCGCAATACACGGGGGCATCCTGCAGGCTTAAGCCTAGAAGGGGCAGGAGCTCCGGTGAAAATGAAAATGGCCACACCTTGAGGTAGCCTTATCCTCGCCCAAGGCTTAGCCCCGTTTTCTACAAAACCGAGACGATTTACGCGGATTTAAACGCTTGTCACCACCATGCCCCCGCATATTGCGATAGCGCCTAATATTGTATTATATGATGGCTTTTGACAAATACCTGAATCAAAATTTACAGAACTCCGTCTATGCGGCGTAAAATGCTCCAATCGATGTCCTCATGGCCTGAAGATGAACGTCTTTGGATGTCCAGATCCAACTTGCCAGTGCCGAGACTTGTGCGAAGGTGTACGGTAGGTCTATTTGTGAGCCGATGTTCTTATCACAACTACATTATCAGCGATATTAGTCTTTTTGTGACCTAATGATGCCTTTTATTTAGCCTGAATTTACCATCTGTTTTCTGAGCTTTTGTGAGTTCTACGGCCATTTTCGAGTCTCGTTTTCCGCCTTGCAAAATCGCCACACCTCGCTATGTTGCCAGTGCACGCCACAACAGTACTGTTGCCCGTCCTTTTAAAGGCGCCGAACAGTCTGTGAGAGTTTAGAAATTATGGCCAGCTGACTATCGAAATCTGCTTAAAATCATGCAATAAGTTGGCAAAAATGTCAGCTTTAAAAAATAAACTGCAAGATAAACAGAGATGAAGAATTAAAGAAACAAACATTTTATTCAATCTAAAGTGCTAAATGACTATTTTCAGTTGCCCAAATGGTGCCGACACTTGCCAGCTGATTGAACCCGACTGTGCCCAACCACCATGTCTTCCCGTGCCCAGATGTGAGTCTGGGGACTTTTACATGGGGACGGAGTTATCGATTTTATTGATCACCACAACCGTTGGTTACAAGCATGAACTCTTCTGTTTTTTCAGGTTTGCTGAATCCGTGTCCCGTCGGCCAGCCTATGACTCTGCAAAATGGCGTCACGGCACTCTGCGCCACCTCCGATCAATGCACTCACGATCATTGGTGTCACAAGGTTCTTTACCCTTTACTTCATCTTTACTGAGTACGCTCAAGTGACGCAGTGGTACTAATTCACTTATACGACCCATGGGATCGTCCTCCGCCAGCACTACACATCCCACTTGATGCTTTTCCCTTCGAGGGTAGGAAATGGGGTGGTGGGCCTGCCTAGTGAGTTGGAAAAGACCTGCATAGTTTCGATAGGTTCGTTGTCCACTAAACTACCGTATCACCCAGGTAGAAGCCGGGAATGCACCACGTGAAGGCCTTCACCGTATCGTTGACTAAGTTAAAAAGTCGCTTAATAGCCGGTTACGGGTAATCAACCGGCGTCTGTCAGGGAAAGTGCAGCGTCAGCGGCGTGGGCGGAGGGACGAGAGATGTCTTGACGGTGTGCTCAAACCCCACTTGAACAGTCTTTGAAAAAAGCCGTCTGACGCGGGTTTTTTCTGTGTATTGCGTATGTTTCCAGGCGCAGCGAGCGCTGCAATTACTACGGTAATTGACAGTGGTGGCTGTCGGTCCGGTCCACACCGCGAAATTATGTGTGTCCACCACCAGCCGCAGCCAGTCAACTCGGAACTCTCAGGGATGCAATCGTAGACCATTAGCCGTCGTTGCATAGAAATATGCTTCGCTCACAGTGGAGAACAACTGGGATCTGTGGGATTGTATAGGCTGTTTTTACGAAATATCCACCTGCGACATCTTCTTAAAGGGGGGCCCAAAAAAGATTTGCATAGTGATTGGGCGGAATGCCTTCACATACTGAGGCCGCATACGATGAAATATCCCATCCCTATGTTCTCAAATAACCCCAACTCGGGTTCAAGAGAACTTGAGTGCAATAAATGACCTTCTAAAAGCGTGTGTACGTATGACCGCGATGAACTTGTAATAACCTTCAATGAGAGGCCAAAGTGACCAGAAATCATCGCGGAAAATCGCGGTGATTAGTCGGAGAAACCACGCTGGGGCTCAAACGGCGCCCTTTCACATTGACAGATCGCTGAATTCGAGCACTTTCGACTTTCAAAAATTCAAACTCCATAGGTAACTCCTCGAATTCTCAAGGAAAGGGTTGAGCTGGCTGTGCGTTATGGAAAAACTTGGTTGACCACTCCCATTTTGAGCAATCTACAAGCCCTCTAACATTTAGGGGGGTCAATGGCGGTGGTTGTCGATCACCGTAGGGTTCCTGCTTATTGAACAAAAAACATGGTTTGTCCTTTTTTCAACTCAGTTGGTGATGAGAGGCGCATTGAAGAGGTGAAGTGCGTCTATGGTTTACAGTTAAAGGAAATTCGGGAATACTGGTAAAGTCAAGCTCAGGGACGACAAAGCCTTCATCATCGATTGGATTGACTGTAACTTTTAATTTGAAAAAAAAAACACAACCTTGTGAATGAATACCCTTCCCCCTCCCTCGTAAGGTAGTTTTATTGTGTCCTGGAACGTTATGAATCGATTATCGATTACGAATGCCCGGTGCACACAGCCTTTTTATTCAATTGAATTGAGCGTCTGTATGTACGACGCGTATTTCTTGAATTTAAAGGAGGAATTCACGATTAGAATGAAGGTCGAAGAAAGGGAAACTGACCTAGTTGAGGGACCCACGGACCTCCTGAGGGTGCGAACTGACGCGCAATTCGCATGGAAAAATTTGACCTCGGCGACCTATCATGCCTCAAAGCTGGCGGGTCCGGCGATCTCCGCCCACCGATCATCTGATCACTCGCCAATACGTGGCGAGTGATTAGATAGCTGAGAGAGCGTAGTGTTGAAGAGGGCACAGCGATGAGAGTCGCATCAATGCTCGAATCAACGGGCAAGGAAGGGGTACCATTTCTCGGGTTCTGGGCCGTTTCTCATGGTTCTTCCTTCTTTCGTGTACCACTCACCATCCCTAGGTTAATTTGAAATGGGTTGCTTTTTCATCGTGAATTCGTCCTTTAAGTGCAATGCTTGTATACTTTACGTTCCATGAGTGGTGCCAACCTGTCGGTAGTTCGGTCACTGGAAGTCGGCAGGAGCCACTATTTTTCAAGATAAAATCAGAATCGCGGCGCGTTTCCCCAGATGCCCCTCTTTTTATGCGAAAACCCGAAGAATAAAGAACTTGACCTGGATACATTGTTTTGGAATGCGCCAGGCGTCTGACTTCCGTTCCGAATCGCAGAGAGCATTGAATGTGCGATCTTAATGAATTGCACATGATGCGAGGGCCAACCTGACTTCAGTTGTTTTTACCTTGTCAGGCTGGTGAGGCAACAACATTCAGCTCACCCCAGAGAAATTGAAGATTCAGCTGACTTCGCCAAGATCCGATCCGGGTTGTTTCTCACGCGATTTGTGTGAGAACGGCTCCCCTTTTAACTTCCCATGTTATCACTAAACCCTGAAATATGCTCAAAACTCCTCAAGACATCGAATAGTAACTATGTGTTCAGATTGGTTACAATGGTCTCGGGTTTTGCTGTGCTGCACCAGAAGTGCCTTCTCGTCATGGTGAACCGTGTCCTGCAGTGATGCCATTGAAGAGCGCCAGATGCTCGTCTAAATGTACTACAGACCACGATTGTGGCGATGGTAGGATAGAAATAATCAACCGTTTTGATTATTCCTTTAAATTTCTCGTCCCCACTTGTTCATGGATCCTTCACGACGTTCAGATTCTGCTGAGAATCCTCAGCTCTCTAGATTTTCAGTGCTCCTGAACTTCGAACGGGTGCATGACACAACCTGGTGAAGTGAGGGCCAAGTAAACAAATTTTATCTGATTTTTTGCGCAAAAATTAATTTCTACCTCCCGCATCCAATCCCAAAACTTCTGGAATTCACGGGCTCTGTAGTGCTCAACAGCCTATGTGGTATGGCTGGTTAGGGAATATCTCCCAGGATAACCAACGAGAGCTTTGCGTTTTTGAAGATCCAACCATTTGAAGGATTTTTTTTCAAGGTAAATGTTGCTTTGATGGTTGCGGTCTCAGCTGCCATTCGTCGGAAGCACCGAAAATCCATAAGGTGATCGTTCCGCAACGGAGAAACCATCATTTTCAACCGGGCGATGTGGCGAAGCATAACAAAGGTAAGTGACGCTAAAAATAATGGCACATCATAGCTTTTTGATTGTCTCATTTGCTGTTCAAAGCGTAGAGCTGGTACCTCTTAATTCTTACATACATAGAAAAGACCTATGAGTTGGTATAAGAGAAATGGTTCAAACCTGAGGATGTTTATATCCCTCTATGAAAGGTGGAATAGTGTCGACTTTGTCACGTGCGACGACACCATCGTAGAGCGATGTGAACCCAAGGCGCCAGGCTCCGCCCACGCGCAGGCCACGCCCCTTAGCGGCGCGTTTGAAAGCGATGAAACCTCCTGGCCATGCAGCATTTTTGTGGACCAATCTATTATTAAATAAGTAAGTATCAGTAATAAATGCCGCGAAAAAACGCGTTTGCCCTTGTTTTCTGTTCGACCGCTGCCCCTTATCTCTCCGTTTCCAAGCTTTTTTCACATCTCTCTGTTACCGTTTTAGCTAACAATCGCCCTTTGTCATTGGCAATGCGCTCCTCAGTGAGGGAACGAAACCTTACTTCGAACTTACAGCTTGGAAGTTGAGCAGCACTCGGCCTCTGTAGAGTATCGTTCAGCGCGGGCGCCCATTAAAAACGAACACTGGGTGCGATTCTCGGATGGGGCATACATATGTGAACAAGTCAACACCCTTTTGATGCCATCAGGAATCGGGGCAAAAAGTAGCAACGAATAACATGAATCCAGAAACTTCTATTTTTTCTTCAAAATCCATGCTTAAGGTGTGCTTTCCCTCTCGTAGCCGACTGCCCTTCGTCCGTCGAGCGGTCACTCGTCGAGAAGTTCACGAACTGCTCGACATCATGTGAGTCTGACGATGACTGCGTGCCTGAAAGAGCTGTCGGTTATGCTGTTCCACACACAGTGTCTGTATCCGATTCGAACTACCACGTGAGTAACCTACAGCCGTTCTTCCGAAATGCTTATGACGCTTACATACTCCATCCAAAGCGTTTAACAACACCTAATGAACTAGCGCTAATTTTAATACAAGTTCTACTCATTATCAATCCAAGGTATCTCATAAGGAACTATCATATTTTATTCACTTCATCCTCTGGCAAATCAGGTACGAGAATATCGGGGCCGTATTTAATCCTTTACCCAGAGGATGCGTCCCTCTCCCCTGATTCGACCCTCGGGGGAGACAAAAATGGATTGCGTCACAGTGACCGCCACACCTCTGTGTTTCTATCTGCCAGACAGGTAGAGCAGCTCGACCCCTTAGGGGAAAAGAGTTGGAGGTTGGAGGGTAGTCGCACTGTTCTAACTGTGGCAGATAGAAAAACAGAGTGTGCAGCTTATCGACGCACCTTTTTTGGGGTACCCCCCACCCCCAGGAGGCCCGTCGCGCGGCAAGAAGGCAAAGTCAGCGGACGAGTCGCGCGCGTACTATAGGGATTTCGCGTCAAGTTTAAATAGAGTGTCCACTGCACGTCCTACATCGCACACCACGCGCTGCAACTCGTCCGCCGACTCTGCCTTCTTGCCGCGCGACGGGCCTCCTGGGTACCCAGCTTTTTTGTCTCCTCCGCGGACTGGAACAGGGGGGACGCACTACCCTGGAATGCACTGAAAAGCCCTTGCTGGGAGATATGAACTGATAACAATGGACGAGACCTGTAAAGCGCCAAAAATTTTGTTTGGGAAGCTTTAAAAACGATTTCAGCTTGTTTCCACATGGCACTCACAGCAGAACTGTAAGCTGCGTAAAGTACAACGCTGCGATCGTGGAGGAAAATTTGAGCGGATGCAGGTGGGTCTTGCTGAACTTTGTGTTTGCGTTTCTGAATTGCCGTTACCCTTGGCCTAAAAATTGTTGATTTCAAATACTCAATTCTAGTGCGATGACAATGGCTGCTTCTGCGTGGACATCGACAGCGGTGATGAGATATCAGGCACGCGAACCACTGACAGCCTTCCAAATTGTGCAGGTTAGAAGAGCTGTAGCTTTATTGATTGGTAATTTGAAGCGAACTTACTTCCACATCGGCGTGCGATAACCCGCAGGCCAAATAGTGTAACATGCGCTGTGGCAAATTACCGGTTGGTTCTGATGTGGACAAAAGTCCAAAATTTAAAAAGAAACAGCCCCAAAGGGACATATGTTCGCTTATCGATGCGACAAAGCGTAACCTCATGTTCTTGCTAAGGACGGCCCTTCTTTTGTTCAGGCTCTCCAATGCCTAACGCGGCGAACTCGTCCACGCTCGTTCGTTGCTATTACTAGGGTACCCCCGAGGCCCGTCGCGCGGCAAGAAGGCAAAGTCAGCGGACGAGTCGCGCGCGTACTATAGGGATTTCGCGTCAAGTTAAATAGAGTGTCCCACTGCACGTCCTACATCGCACACCACGCGCTGCAACTCGTCCGCCGACTCTGCCTTCTTGCCGCGCGACGGGCCTCCTGGGGGTACCCTTCAACCTACTCATAACGAATGCATGCTCTTCCCGTGTCACAATTTCTCCTACCAAAGAAACATTGTTCTCATTTTTGCATGCTTTTCACTTCTTCTCGTCCACTTCTTTTCCTGCGAGGTATTTCGACATAGCATAAACATGGGCCAGTGGGTCGTTTGCCAGGCGCTCTACCATTGCTTTGAATATACCATCAGCGGCCGCTAAAAAATCCGCACATAAGTACAACCGGGTACCCGACAGTCGCGCGCGTGGCAATAGCTTGACTAGGGACTAGTCGCACGCGTGATGCGCAAATAAATCACGTTAAAAAAAGCGTACATTCTATCCTGACCGAAATCACACAGAACACGCAACGCCCTCGTCCGCCGACTGCTGTCTTGCGGCGCCGCACCGACAGGTCTCCTATTGGGTACCCTCATACATCGTCTGCATCAGAAAACAACTCTCCTCCTCAACTTCCTTTCCCTGAGGGATCGTCAACGGGTACTGTAATCTGGTCCGTATCCCGTTCATCACTACTGAAGATGACAGCCACGCTCATCACATACATCGGAAACCCTTTGCATTTTGACCAACTCGTCCTTATAACCCTTTCTGCGGCCGAGCTAGCACCACATAATCCTCTCTATGTTCTAGTTCTGGCCTAGGGGTTGAATCAAAGCCTAGTATCTGGGCAGATCTTCATGGAAAACTGGAGGATATTGGTCCACATTGTTCAAGATAATAATTTGAACTATCAGAGTATTTATTTCAGCCGCTCACAAGTGTCCAGACGTGGTTTGCAGGACATCCTGTCCGTACGAATTCGAACGGGATGCAAACGGATGTCGTTCATGCCGCTGTAAAAATCCGTGCGCTACGGTAAGTTCCACAGACCCCGAAACATTTAATTATCTGAATAATTAGTTAGCAGCAGTGCTGAAAAATATGCAATTGCTGGAGCTTCCGATATTTTTCGCAGAACAAATAATCGCAGTTGATTTGTGACTCATAGTCAAAAACGATTCATGAAGAATCCCACATCTTTTTACAGGAGTGGTTTTTTTTAGTCTCAACATCTAAGGCGTTGTATAGATGGGGGCAAAAATTAGTGCTATGGACCAGGAGATACGCTTTCTCGGCGCGCGCTCAATTATGCGACGGCTTATCGCGCGCGGCATCACTGGCGTAGATGCCGCGCGCGATGAAGTTGGCTTGTTGCAGCGCTGCGTGCGCGGGCTCGTTAAGAGCTTCTTGACCCGGTTTGAAACTCGTCGAGCCAAATATGGAAATCTTTCTTCAAAAACAGCATACCATTTTAGGTAAAATGTCATCAGGGCAGTTACTGTGTTATGGCTGCTGTCAACTGCTTCCAAACGGAAAACTGTCCGCCACAGCCGCGATGTAAGTCTAATTTTGCTGACGCCTCAGATAATTAAAATGTAAAGAATGAAGAAGGCTTCAGGAATGTGTGAACGGAATTTCTTTGGCCCCTCTAGCAGATCATGGGTAAATGATTAGCTTTATTGGTTTTAAGCCCATCAAAATGTCTTTTTGTGGCCCATCGGGGGTTGTCTAAAGTCCTATAATGATATCCCACGTTACTTAAAGGCATATGACACGATAAATTGGTCTCCGTTGAAAAAGGAAGTTGGGTGGTGAATGGCGCAGGGATGAAGAAGAAGGAAGAGGAGTAGCCCTGAACCCTCGACTGGACCACTTTTCGCCCGCTGATTTCCGCGCTGGACGAGTTTTACGATAGTTGGCGTCATCGATGTACTTCATTCCGCCACTCGACCCTCTACTCTATTTCTCTGCGCAACCGGCAACCCATCACTATCAACCATAGGCCGAATCCGCCGATAGAGGCTTGGAATGCCACGAAGGTGGCCGTAACTACGGGTAAGGCCTGCTTAGGTCGCTGCCGATGCGCTTATTTCGCTGGCGTGCCACAGCTCGTTTCCAAAAGGGCTTAGATTCCATTTATGGTGGGCATATATCCCTTCAGCATCCACGTTATCGCACCAAAGAACTCCAAGGTAGTAGTATGTCTATTTTCCAGGTGTCCTGAACCTTTGCCCTCGTGGTGAGCCTTTCATTTCGCAAGTGGGCGTCGTGGAAACTTGTAACTCTGACGATCAATGCCCGTCTGGACACTGGTGTAATCAGGTATAATTGAAGTTCCCGATTCATTCAAAAAATTACCTGAAACTGTCTAATCTATTGACTCAATACATTGTAACCATAGCTAACTTTGAGTAAGCTTGAGTTCAGATGGGCTTTTCCGGGGGGGTGGGGGGGCGGGGGCGGGGTCGACTGGGCTGCTGTTGTGCATTGCCGCTAAAAGCATACATTCCGCACGTGCCCTCCGATCGAGCACGCCAGCTTCTACACAACCTTAGCGTGTGCGTTTCGAATGCCCGTTAGTGAGCGATGAGTGGTGAAATCACAGAAAGGTCGCTACGACTGTTGTGGTTTTGTTTCTTGCCATTGCAAAGTACTGAGCCACCTTTTTTCTGGCTATGCGAGTTATTACGGATTGCCACGGGGTTGTCCCAATACATTTAGCGGAACATGTGACGAGGCTCTAACCACTATCACATAGACTTTTTGATATTCTTGTAGCAAACTCGAGCTATTTTCTGAGCTGATTTTCGTATCGAGCAAGTCAACATCATGTCCCTTTGGGAAAACCGATCAAACTGAGATGTGCTGCCTCTATCAAAAGCTAGGTGCACGACACGGAGAGCGTTTTGTGCGGGCGAGACGCAGGAGTCACGACGAGTGCAGCGCGTACTGTAGTGATTTCGCTTCGAGTTTGACAGAATGTACCACTGTATGTCGTAGATAGCGCAGTAAGCGCTTCGAAACATCCGCTAGCTCTGCCTTCTTGCCGCGCAATGGGCCTCTTGTCGGGAAACCAAAACTGCAGTGTAGTGGCGTCGAAGAAACCCACGCAGCGAGGATTCCACTTAGTGTGTCGGGTTACGCAGGCACAGGCGCAAACCTTCACCCGCGAAAAAGAGCCACGTTGCTTCCTTGGAGATTTCACAATTCTTTATGGTGGCACAATTGCCTTTTCTAAAAGAAAAACATCTCGCCCCTACCTTTATCTCTGGAGCTCCACTCCCTCACCTACATCCAAGAAGGACATTTGAATGGCGACAATTTTTCAGCCATGGCATCAGACCTGTCTGGAAGTGGTGAAGTGACGAAACCGGAGATAGTGAAGCCAGGACAGTGCCCATACTTTGACGAGCGTTCATGCGAGCAGCCACCGTAAGAAATTTGCATCCTCAAAATAACCAGTGATAAACAATCTGTGAGTTTTGCCCGTTCAGTCAAGCCAGCCAATGCGGCACAGATGACGAATGTGCGGGTGTGCAGAAGTGCTGCTCTGACGGCTGCACCAAAAAGTGCCTCTATCCGGAAAATGCCAGCGCTTGCGTGCAGGCCAAATCGGCTCTACAAATGATTGGACAATCGGAAAGAATTCAGTGTCGTCCAGGTATGTTTGAGTATATAGTATATGTATTTTTAGGTCTATTCCAATTAGAGGGGATTGGGTCTATTCCAGTTAGAGGGGGCATCATGATGCAGTTTTTCCAGAAAGCTAGGGTAACTCCGAGCCAGGGGGAGTGTAGCCAGTCTAGGGGGTGGGGTGAGGGCAGTCACTC